TGGAAAAGATTGTATTCTGATCAAACAAAGACGCTTTATTTCTAAAAAGACAACTTTTGGTTGTTCCCTTTTGCAGTAAGGATAGTTCCTCCACACAAGTTTTGTGTTAATCCGAACTTATAAATAATGCATCCATCATTTCTTTCAATGTTCATTTTTTCATTAGACTGAGGTGAATATGGCAGTAGTTTGATGGATATTCCACTTTCCAAACATATTTCTGCACAATGAGATTTATACTCTCCATTCTTATCATTTCTTATATTTTTTACACTGATTTTCAACTTCGATATTACATTGTTAGACATTTCTATTGCTTCATCCTTACTATTCAGCAAATAGACATAGTCATTTATAATGCAATTCTCAATAAAAGTAACAAATAATTTTTCCCACCATGAGATGGTGTTAACTTCATATCACAAATGTCAGTGTAAATCAATTCTAAAGGATTAGAATTTCTTTCAACAGATTTATAAGAATGCTCAACATACTTAGATTCCACAAAAACTTGAAATTTTTATTTATTGCACTCAAAATTAGGCAAAACTTCTAAGTTGATCAGTTTTTCTTACAAGGTTTTGTAATTGACATGTCCCAAGTGTTCATGTCACAAACATTGACTCAAGCAAGAAAGAACAAATAAAAAGCATTGAATTTGAAAAGCTCTTCGCGAGGTAGCAATTTCCTCAAATGTCCTTTTCAGAATGACATTTCCATAACTTTCAATAAGATTGTTATAGAACTACCCATGAGCAAAGTTTCATCGGGTTCAATAAAGACAATATAGTCCAAATGTTGTTTTACAAAAGCATAACAAATGACTATTTACCAATATTCATGTCTATGCAAATACTTTTATTATAATAGCCATATCTTTTCATGAAAAAATCACACATTTTAAGTGATATTTTTTTCCCATAAAAGAACACAATTATTTTGAACAAGTATATATATAATTTGGATGTTTCATACTAGTGACACTATATACTAGTATTAGAGAAACTCAACAACCACAATACCGAATATACTCCAAGAATTTTGTGGGTATAACATAATACAAAAGTATTATTGAATTTCATATCTTTTGCTCCAAAATTAAATTAGACACCAAGTCTAATCATAGGCAAATAACCCCCACATTTCAAATGTGATCTCAAAAATATTTTTCAAGTATTTGAAAATAGTTTTTCCACATATTTTAATGTTGAAAACATTATTCTACGAAAGAATTATAGTGCTGCAATTCTCTTTGACAATGTTTAAACAATGTCAAACTTCATTGCATAGAGACACAAAATCACAAATTCTAAGTCACTGGTATTTTTCCTCTATCATAAATAGACATACCACTTAGTATTTTAAATACTAACAATAAGGACAAAAAAATTGTACAATTTATTTCTATATTACATTGAAGTTTATAGAAAATCAAAAGTACAACACTGACTTATTATGTGAAGTTTTCATATTCTTCAAACCAATTGCATAGTCCAATTTATCCAAAGTATAAAACAGCAAAAGTTTCTAGTCTACAAAAATCAGACACACTAACATTTCTCATGGAGTACAAAACTACAAAAGTCTTTTTTTTCTCCAAACAGAATAACACATATTCTTTATCACATAAAAATGTTTTTTTTATCAAATAGTCTTCCAACTATAACATTTTGACATACTATTTTATCAAAAAAATATGCATCTCTCATTTTTGCAAACTAAAGAATTTTAAAAGCAACAATATTTGCGAAGTAAAATTCATTCCACAACATATGGTTTGCAAATCTTTTTTCAAAGATGATAATTCTTAGAAACTATTTTCCTCCCTAGATAATTTAATAAGAAGATTACCTGGTAATCTTTAAACGGAATACCATAAAAATTTTCTGTTACATTCTCAATTCGAACTTGCTAAACAAAGCAACGAACTGTGGAGAAATAATACTTTTATCTTCTACTTCAATGATTAGATTCTCTCAATCAGTAGAATACAAAAAAATAGTAACAGTGTATTAATCTCCTTAAGATTGTTGATCATCTTGTATTTCAAACATACTTAGAACAAAACTTTGAACATCTTTGTAAGACAACAAAGTTGTAGAACATTTTCACAACTAGAAAATTAAAACTAGTAGCAAAACTAGAATCTTTTAACAAAACATACGAAATATTTTTCTTAAAGAAGAATTGTTGTTAATATGTGTCTAAAGAATCTTACTAATTCCAACAAACTTTGTAGAAACACGAAGTTACCAAGTATAATGAACCAGTGAAGAATAAAAGAATACAAGAACTGAAATTTATTCACAAATCTAAAATTTGTAAAACACGTACCAAAATCTGAAAAACTTTTAATAGGAAAAAGATCAAGTCCACTGAACTCACAGTGTCCCCTTATGAAAATTATTCCTCTCTAGTATCCGAGGTTTGATTTAGAATATGACCTCCCAGGGTAAAATGATCTCAATCACCAGAGTATAGATACCAAAAACTCCGGTGTCAGCGAACCACTGAAAGGCAGTAAACTACACTTAGAATACTAGATTTAGTAGTTGAAGAAGAAGTCCATGAATTCTATATTAAAATGAGAGGAAATCCCTCAATTTATAGAAAACAAAGGGTAGTGCGAAAAAGTTCTTATTGTGCCTTACCGGAAAGGTCACACACCTTAGGAAAAGTCATAATCTTTTAAAAAGGTTGTCACCTTTCATAAAAGTCACAACTTACCATAAAATTCACAATTTTTCATAAAACTCGCAACTTTTCATAAAAGTTATAACTTTTCATAAAAGTCCCAACATTTCATAAAAGTCACAACTCTTTATAAAAGTTATAACTCTTCATTTTTCGTTCACAGCTTTTTAAAAATCCAACAATGACCTCGAGCTTGAGAAATTCATCAAAAGAAAAAAGAATGAACAAGAGTGTGAACCATATAGACAAGGTTATGGTTCAATAAGAAGTTGAAGCAATGTCTTAACCACAACACAAAAACTACTAAAAAGGACAAAATAATATTAATATGCAAAAGGCAAGAAAAGGACCATGAGGATCGTCACACTAACTCATCTACAATATCAAAATACTTTAAACAAATCATGTCATTTTGATTCGTATTATATGTTCATGTTGTCTATAGAATAACACGTGGCTACTTTTGATTCATATTATATATATATATATATATATATATATATATATATATATATATAATTTTTTAAGGTTTTTTTATACCCTCCTTAATATTTTCGATATATATCTTTTTAACATCTCATTTAATTAATGTTGAACTAATAAAAACATTAAAAAATATATACTTCTTTTTTTTAAAAATAATCTCGTACTCATCTAAAATGTCAAATTCGGTAAAACAAAGTGAGTTATTTTTATTCAAATTATATGTTTTAATTGAACTCACCTTAAAAGGACATTTAATAGTTTCTATGAAGAAAAGTCACTTAATTATAACACTACACCAATTGAAACAATAAGAAATAAGCTTCTTTTTTTTAAAAAAAAAGAAAGATAATCTCATTATTCATCTAAATTGTCAAATATTTCTAAATCAAAACAAGTTGTTTTTATTTATATTCTATATTTTTTTAAAAGATTTTTATACTCAATTTAAATAAAATAGATTTAATATTAATTCTGACGTATATCTCTTTAAAATCTCATTTAATTAACACTATATTAACTTAATATAATAAGAAATGTGTTTTAATTTGTTTTAAAGGTAATGTCTTAACTCTTACACATCTAAAATGTGAAACAAATGTAGTTATCAAAAGAATTAATCTTTAGGATCAAAGATAGAGTAGAATTAATGGCTTTTATTCATAGAAATAGAATTCAAAAAGAAGATATAGATAGTTGATGAAGGTGGTCCTAGACACAAAAATTAATGAAGATGAGGGTGGGGGTGGGGGACACACACATCTGACATAGGAGGAGGACAATAGCACACAGTAATACATTCACGTGCACTTCTTCAATTGTATCCTTCCAAAATCCTAATATCAGAATGTCCCTACACCCCTACCCCTCACTTACTAAAGTCAGCACACTGCAATTTTTTTTTAACATACATCTCTCTCTGTGTGTAGCAGCCTTCTCCCACACGTGTCCCTTTGTTCTCTTCTGTATTCTCCAATGGTAATGCATCTCAGATCTTCTGCACCAGTTATCCTTGCCTTGTTTTTATTAAATCCAATCTTTGCTTTGGAATGGCATCTCCTCTTTGCTATATGTTTATACCTTTCACACTTTCAATAATAGGGAGTACATCTCCTGCATAGACACATGCGTCCTACGTAATGCATTTAAAGCAACATGTTATGAAACATACATTAACATGTGTACGATGTTATATTGGATATATGTCTTTTTATTTAATTTTGTACAAATTTAAATATGTGTTTGTATAAATTCAAAGTTGAAAGGTGTAACGATGAAAACATATATATGTTTGATCGAATGCTAGTTGACGCTACTTCTATCTAATTAATGATATGAAGCTACCAATAAAGGTTGTATGATGGAATAATATAGTAGTCCTTCATTCTTAATCAAAGGTTTCAGATTCGGATATATATATGAAGGTTAGAGTTAATGAAGGAAATCTCAAGGCAATTGGTGTAATCATGTACATGATATAGTGTTCTATTGTTGGCTGATGTTAACTAAAAATATGGTAAATAAGTAAAATAGAAAAAGAAAATGTTTGTTGGAATTTGGGGCATTCATATTTTTTCAAAGTAACAATCTTTTTATTTGAAAAAAAAAAAACCTATATATAATTTAGTAACATTAATGACATTGTGGTTGGCAAAATAATTCTACCGTTAGAAACAAAGTGATCACAAATGTTTTTAGTCCGTGAGGCGCTGCTATTATTGTTTAGTATTGATTTTAAATCATTACAAAATGATGAGAATTAAGAAATTTAGAAGTATAAATAAATACCCAAAAAAAAAAAGTATAAATAGTACGGGTCATGGATAATATAAAAGCGAGTAACCCGGCCCATAACTCTCTTTAGCCGCACTTCCTGCTTGCTAAGTAGAACATACAATTCATTTTTCTTTTCTCTCTAAAACAGTTTTTGCCCATCTTTCAAACTCCTCCGCCAAAAAAAAACCTCCTTTCCTTCTCATTAGGGTTTCCTTTGAAAAAGAAAGTATTGATTGATATGTTGTAGTATTTCTAGATCTGAAACGAAGCTATGCAATCAGATTATGAAATGGGTGGGATCCATCAAGAGTGTGAAGATGAGCCTAGATTCATGGTGGAAAATAATGCTTCCACTTCTTCCCCATTTTACCCAAACTATCACTTCCCTCCGACGTCTCATCCTATTCTCCAACAAATCCACAGTTTACCGATTACTCAACATTTTTTCCCTTATCAACATGCTCATTACAGATCTATGTCAGAAGAAATAAGAGTAGATCAGTCTCAGACGGCGGAGTTAGTGGCTTTTCCTGCAAGTGAAATAAGAGGAGGACAAGAAGATGCTTTGATTCGTGGGAGTGAGCGATACTGTACACAGCCTCGACAAACTTGTGTAGCTGTTTGGCAAAACCAAGAAGATTCTGCTATGAAACAACCTGTTTGGTAATCTTTTCTGCACTCAATCACATGTAAATCTCTCCCGTACACCCTACCCTATTAATTAATATAAATATTAATATTTTATTATTATTATTATTTTTGATTTATGTAGGAAAGGAGAATATTCAAATGGAAATGCAATTGAGAAAAACAAACAAGAAGAAGATGAGGAATTGTATAGTTTAGAAGAAACTAATAAACGTAGAGTAGTATTCGGAGAGTTAGAAGCTATTTGTATTCGTGGAATTGCATCTGAATCTGCTGATAATTTGCCAACCAACCACAATGTCACTTTTCCTGAATTGGCTCTCAATGAAGCCATGGTTAACAAAATGGATAATACTATGGGTAAATTTCATAAAAGGAAGAGAGGGAAAGATGAATGGGGAAGATTTTTCAAGTCATTAGTGAAGAAACTGGCGAACCACCAAGAAGATCTACAAAGAAGTTTGATGGAAACAATGGAGTGATTAGATCAAGAAAGAAAAGAAAGAGAAGAATTATGGAGAGAGAAAGAATTAGAAAAACTCCAAAATGAAGAAGCTGCTAGAGCCCATGAAAGAAGATTGGCTTCAACTAGAGAAGCTGCTCTTGTTTCTTGCTTAGAAAAACTCACAGGTCAGAAAATTGATTTTCAAACATTCAAAATAAAGGAAGACGAAACCTGAGATAACAAGTAAGTATGGAAAGAAATAAGTAAGTCAATCAATGTCTGCAATGGGATATTATGAGCCGCAAAGAGAAGTGATGCACAAGTGTAGTCTCAAGAAAAGATCACAAGGGAACAGTTGAGAATAGTTGTACTCAAGGAAATGATACTAATATTGATGGCGATGAAAACAGACGTAACAAACAACAACAATGAGTGATAAGCTATAAGAACATCACTGCTTACTTTCTTCTTTATTATTGTTTATTTTCTCATTTCTTTTTCATGTATTTGTTTTGTTCATCCTGTCATTTCCTTTTCTTCCAACAATGATATCAGTTCCCATGTCGTTTTTCATACTATTTTATTTTTCTACTGCAACTATTATGTAGGCCATACCAACACAAACTTAATTTATCCCAAAACATACTTCAACTTTTAACTTATCAAACTTACACTACTAGCTTAGGCAAACATTATCAAAGGTTAACATGACCATCAACTTGTCTCTCCTGAGATTCAAACTTTTGAATTTTATTATATAGGTGGACATTATATAATAACTGCTATAAATTATAATCATTAACAGCCTAAATTATTTAGAAGACATAAAAAAACTATCCGTTAAAGAAAAACTTGGACTACGCTCAAAACTTTAGTCTAACTCATAATTTGGGTGGATCATTTCAATTTGTTTGTCTGAGTATGACTTGGCATGAAACTGTTTCAATTTGTTTATTTAGGTTTAACTTGTTTCAATTTGATATGAAGTTTAAAAAAGTTTTTAAAAAAACACTTTTAAATGTGGTCTTAAATTAAATATATGTAAAATGTATCGACCATATTTTTTAAATAATATTATTTTAAACATATAACGTAGAAAATGAAAACTAAAAAACTGTATATATACATGAAAATGACATTTTTTTTAACGCATTAAAAATGAAAATAAAACACTGGTATATGATAGAATAATACATTGATGTATTCTTTTTCCTATATTTATTATACTCCACATTATCGATTATATATTAAATTAGTACCAGGTGAGCATATTCGGAATGCGAGATTGAGGTACACATTAAATATATAAACTATAGAGTACATTTCTTTCATTCAATAAGGTGGTCGAGTGTCAACGACCAAACAAAATTTTTTGATTTGCTTTTCTTTTTTGTTCTTTTTAGCCCTTCTTTCCATTCTTTGAACAGATAATATTATTGGATCGGACACATGGGTGGAGTTATTTTAAGTGAATAATTTCGTTGGAAATTTTATGGTGCATATAAAGGTTAAATATTAGTTATTATAAATATTGTTATAAAATCAAGCTCATAAGAATATAATCATAAAGAGAAGAAAACAAGAGAAGTAGATAGAAGAAGAGAAATTTTCTTCTTATTCAAGTGTATACAATGGTGAATGATATCTCTATTTATAGTGTTAAGATATCATGGTCAAAGGTCACCTTGGAATTATACTTTGTTATCATCAAGGTTCATATCACCTTGGAATCTTATCACATTGGAAACACTAATACATGAATCCAATTAATTGTTGGATAACTCTAATGGATCATCCATATAACACAATAGATTTATAATAATTTTGGCATGATACATAAATACACCCTTTAATTTGGGTTCGAATCACATTTATGTCCTTCAACTTTGGGTGTGCACAAGTAGACACTTAAACTTGTATAAAGTTGAACAAATAGACACACATGTCCTACATGTCATCCTACGTGTCATTTTTTGTCTTATGTGGTGTCTTACGTGTATTGTGCCATGTAGGACCCATGTGTTTATTTATTTAAAAGTTGCATAGTTAAAGTGATTGTTTGTGCATTATGAAAGTTGAAGGTCAAAGTTAAATTTGAAGCCAAATTTAGGATCTAATATATGTATTATGCCTTTAATTTTATATGTTTCTAATTGAAAGGTGAATTTAAAATTTGGGCTTAATGCGAGCATCACTAATTTTATTATGTTAGTGACAAAGTTCTACATTGTTATTCTTTAAAAACTAAATGATTATGATAACAAAAGTACGAACAAAAAAGAGTTTAGAAATTAGAATGAGGAAAATATATCTTGTTTTAATCAAGGGTTAAAAAGGAAGTGAAGAATAAGTGTTGGAGTTTAGGGCTTTTGGAGGAGGGATTTAACTAAAAAGCAGTGAAGGTGGGAGTGAGGACTAAAGAATAAATAAATGTAAAGAATAAATAAAATTATCGGTGTCAAATGAGTGGTTTTGGTTTAAATTAGTGATGATAAAATGGATTGAAAGTAGAAATTAGGTTGCATCATAATCCGTTTATATTTATTTTGGGCTCAAATGAACTAAAAATGGATTGTGTAATAAGTTATGACCTGTCCAATTTGATCGGCTTAATCTTAATAATTTTAACATATTATTATTTTATTTTTACAACCACAATTTGAACTTCAATTCAATGAAATAACAAGAATAAGAAGTTATAAGTGGATAAATAAACGGAAAAGGGCCTAAAATACCCTCAAAGTATTGGAAATGGTACAAAATTACCCTTCACCCACCTATTGGCTCTAAAATGCCCTTCCCATCCACCTATTGGGTCCAAAATACCCTTGTCATCCACCTTTTGGTTCAAAATTGACCACATATTTAACGGTTTTATATTTAAACTATTTAAATATTTTTTAAAATACGTGGTGCTCAACTAATTGTTATAATTTAACTTATTAGTGTAATTTATAAATCAATCCACTACCCACCCATTGCTAATTAAATCCCTCTAAATCAATGAACCCGTCACATTATTAATGCAAGCTACTGCCAATTGAATGTTTTTAAAAAATATAGAAGTAAATTATCATACATTCAAGTGGCTACATAAAAATCACCAATAAACTTTAAAGTCTGACTATGTTCATCTTAATTATTCTTACGTCTCAATTATGTGATGTTACTTCATAGGTAACTTTTTTTCAAAATAATATATTAAAGGTATTAAAATTAATCATAAATATTTATAAAATTATATTTAAAAAAGTGAATGAATTAATTCGGGATGTATTATTTCTTTACCTTTAATTATAAATTTCTAATTCAATTTTGAAAGAAAGTGTCCTCCTAAATAAGCGGCTCAACCTAAATTTAATTGGGGCTTCGATTCGGACTTGAATAATTTTGAATGTCATTTTGAGTAATCTATAATTTCATTGTGTTTTAGTAGTGTTTATGACGATTTTGATATTATAATTGAATTATTAATTGAGTGAGGTTTAGTTAGTAGTGAGTGGGTAGTGGATTGGTTTATAAATTATATTACTAAATTAAAATTATAATTAATAGTTGAATGCCCAGCATTTAAAAAAATATTTAAAGAGTTTAATTTTGAAACAATTAAAAAATGGTCAATTTTGAACCCAAAGGTGGATGACAAGGGTATTTTGGAGTTAATAGGTGGATGAAAAGGGCATTTTGGAGCCAATAGGTGGATGAAGGGTGATTTTATACCATTTTCAATACTTTAAGGGTCTTTTAGGCCCTTGTCCGATAAATAAATTCTAAAAGATATAGAATAGATAGTGATTTATACCTTCAATTTGAGTACATATATTACATTAATGCAAATAAAGAGTCTTATAAGGAGTTGAGATCGGAATTAAATTGTGTTAATTGAAGATTCGTTAAAAATGAGCTAAGACTTGAATAAGTTGAGATTGAACCTAATTCATATTAGGAAAAATTACGTGACTAACAAACATATACAAGTTAATTAAAGTATTTAACATAACTATAGTTTAAAGAAATTACTTTTCGCCACAAACATATAGCTATATTTACGTGGGTCATGTACGATTTTGTATAAGGGACTATAATTCGGTTTATAATTGTATAAATTCAAAATTTGCATAATTAATTCATAATTGTATAAATTAAAAATTTTATATGCTTACCCTACCTATTTTGTACACAATTTGTTGATTCATTTGATTTATATAAATTATGGAAAATTCACAACTCTATAAATTCAAAACATATATATAATTATCTTATTTGTACATGATTTGTTGATACTTTTGAGTTGTATAAGCTTTGAAAATTTTCTAAATATATTAATATAAAATTTGTATATACTTATATTATTTGTATCTTTAACAAGCGAAATACACAAACGAAAATATTTTTAATAATCAAAGTTATAACTATGGAACGTAATTAAGCAAACTATAGCTAAGAACACTTATTAACTTCAATCATTTTGCTATTTATGAAATATCTTCATCAAATTATCATAAACTCAACTCATAAAATTCAAAACAAATTGAACAAATTATCCATATTTAAACTCATTTTAACACTCCTAAATAAAATTATGTGGACTTAAAATTTATAAAGTAGTTTTTCCTGGGAAAAAAAACATACAAAATGTTGTCACCAAGACTTGACGTCGGGCAACAAGAACCCAAGGGGCACTATGACCAGCTACCCAGTCAAACATGTATATTTGAAGATAAATTTGAAGTTATAACGGAAAATGAAATTAATCAAGATAATTGTTATAGATTATTACTAGAAGGGAGATGAGAAATATAAATTCAAAGAGGGGACGAGAGAATTAGACATTTTTCTTAACAATTTTTTCATTCTTAAATTACATATCACTATCTTTTTTGATGGAACTGTTTCATACTCGCTACTCAATCCATACCCCAAATTAACTCGGCTCTATTGCTCGTTTTCGACCCAATAACTCTTTTCAGCCCAATAACAACTGGTATGACATTAGTATCTACATCGGACTGCACTTATTTTTTAACGGAAAATAATTTAAAAAAGAGTAAATTTTAGGTTTAACAAATATAAGAATCATATTTGTATTTTATATCTATAGTTTATATAATTGCGCTTCATAGCAAACATAAAGTTGCTATGTCTTGATCTGTATATTTCGGTATACATATACATACAAAAACAGGGAAAATAACATGGGATGACAAACATTCCTATTTAATTAGTTTAAGGGTATAGTTTAAATTTATTTACAGTTAGTAAATACAGTTTCAATTTTTTTGCCATAATTAATGAGTCCCACTACCTATTTTGTATACAGGATAAAAATAGTCTTCCAAAGATTTTTATATAATTTTATTCAAAATCAAATTTATCTCTCTCATTCTCATTCCATATCTTTCTTTTAAAATTACTCTTCCCTTCTAATTTGAATTTCGATTGGAAAAATTTTGACCTTCTCCCTCTGATGTTCTTCCACTTTTCGCAGGTAGCCGCCAAATTCATGGCTTTCAATATTTTTTTTCTTGATTCCTTCTTTAATAATTGTATATGTAGTATGATTATTAGTTTTTTCCAT